TCCACGTAAACGTAAACGTCGAGTATTATTGCTACACTCCATTGTATCTTTTTTATCTAGTGTTTTTGCTGTTGTCTGTTGATGCGTATTAAAGTCATAGTACTGTAGTTCGTGTTTTTAAGAACGTTGTTTCGGATGCACTTTTGCGCATGTTTTTTTACAAGTACGTTTTTGTGCATGTCCATTTGAGGGAGCGTGTATGTGCATGTTTGTTTATTTGTATTAATGTCCTAGGATTGTAGTTTGTGTTTTCATTATCCTTTTTGGGAATGCACTTTTGCTTGAGTACTTTTGTGCATGCTTTTGAACTTTTACTCGAGTGCGTATCTTTTCTAGCGAGTGTTTTTGAGCACGTTTCTTGATGCGCATTCTCGTCCTTGAATTGTAGTACGTATTTTCATGATCGCTTTTGTTATCCAATTTTGACCATGTTCGAGTCCGAATTTGGAATTTTGACGTTAGACAGGAATTGTAGCCCACTGAAATAGCTTTCTAATGCCACCGGAACCAGTCAATTTGGAGCCCGGATGAGAGAGTTATGCTCGACTTCGTGGACACTAACAAAGATGTTGTGGGATTCTCTCTTCTAATAAGATTTTATTTTCTTAATTGCAACTCTTTTCTTACCCTTTGATCATTTTTGCTTCCTGGACACCTAATTTTCGATTTGTACCTAAAAGATACTAAATCCACCAATAAAGACAGAAACATAAATTAACCCAAACAATAATCCACGTAAACGTAAACGTCGAGTATTATTGCTACACTCCCTTGTATCTTTTTTATCTAGTGTTTTTGTTGTTGTCTGTTGATGCGTATTAAAGTCATAGTACTGTAGTTCGTGTTTTTAAGAACGTTGTTTCGGATGCACTTTTGCGCATGTTTTTTTACATTTTTATGTTTTTGTGCATGTCCATTTGAGAGAGCGTGTTTGTGCGTGTTTGTTGATTTGTATTAATGTCCTAGGATTGTAGTTTGTGTTTTCATGATCCTTTTTGGGAATGCACTTTTGCTTGAGTACTTTTGTGCATGCTTTTGAACTTTTACTCATGTGCGTATCCTTTCTACCGAGTGTTTTTGTGCACGTTTCTTGATGCGCATTCACGTCCTTGATGTGTAGTACGTATTTTCATGATCGCTTTTGTTATCCAATTTTGACCATGTTCGAGTCCGAATTTGGAATTTTGTTGTTAGACGGGAATTGTAGCCCACTGAAATAGCTCTCTAATGCCACCGGAACCAGTCAATTTGGAGTCCGGATGAGAGAGTTATGCTCGACTTCGTGGACACTACCAAAGACGTTGAGGGATTCTCTCTTCTAATTTGATTTTATATAGTGTTTTTGCTGTTGTCTGTTGATGCGAATTAAAGTCATAGTATTGTAGTTCGTGCTTTTAAGAATGTTGTGCCGGATGCACTTTTGCGCATGTTTTTTTACAAGTACGTTTTTGTGCATGTCCATTTGAGGGAGCATGTTTGTGCATGTTTGTTGATTTGTATTAATGTCCTGGGATTGTAGTTTGTGTTTTCATGATCCTTATTGGGAATGCACTTTTGCTTGAGTACTATTGTGCATGCTTTTGAACTTTTACTCATGTGCGTATCCTTTCTAGCGAGTGTTTTTGTGCACGTTTCTTGATGCGAATTCACGTCCTTGAATTGTAGTACGTATTTTCATGATCGCTTTTGTTATCCAATTTTGACCACGTTCGAGTCCGAATTTGGAATTTTGACGTTAGACGGGAATTGTAGCCCACTGAAATAGATTTCTAATGCCACCGGTACCAGTCGATTTGGAGTCCGTATGAGAGAGTTATGCTCGACTTCGTGGACACTAACAAAGACGTTGAGGGATTCTCTCTTCTAATTTGATTTTATTTTCTTAATTGCAACTCTTTTCTTACCCTTTGATCATTTTTGCTCCTGGACACCTAATTTTTGATGTGTACCTAAAAGATACCAAATCCACCAATAAAAACAGAAATATAAATTAATCCAAACAAAAATCCACGTAAACGTAAACGTCGAGTATTATTGCTACACTCCCTTGTATTTTTTTTATCTAGTGTTTTTGTTGTTGTCTGTTGATGCGTATTAAAGTCATAGTACTGTAGTTCGTGTTTTTAAGAACGTTGTTTCGGATGCACTTTTGCGCATGTTTTTTTACATGTACGTTTTTGTGCATGTCCATTTGAGGGAGCGTGTATGTGCATGTTTGTTTATTTGTTTTAATGTCCTAGGATTGTAGTTTGTGTTTTCATTATCATTTTTGGGAATGCACTTTTGCTTGAGTACTTTTGTGCATGCTTTTGAACTTTTACTCATGTGCGTATCTTTTCTAGCGAGTGTTTTTGTGCACGTTTCTTGATGCGCATTCTCATCCTTGAATTGTAGTACGTATTTTCATGATCGCTTTTGTTATCCAATTTTGACCATGTTCGAGTCCGAATTTGGAATTTTGACGTTAGACAGGAATTGTAGCCCACTGAAATAGCTTTCTAATGCCACCGGAACCAGTCGATTTGGAGCCCGGATGAGAGAGTTATGCTCGACTTCGTGGACACTAACAAAGATGTTGTGGGATTCTCTCTTCTAATAAGATTTTATTTTCTTAATTGCAACTCTTTTCTTACCCTTTGATCATTTTTGCTTCCTGGACACCTAATTTTCGATTTGTAACTAAAAGATACCAAATCCACCAATAAAAATAGAAACATAAACTAACCCAAACAATAATCCACGTAAACGTAAACGTCGAGTATTATTGCTACACTCCCTTGGATCTTTTTTATCTAGTGTTTTTGCTGTTGTCTGTTGATGCGTATTAAAGTCATAGTATTGTAGTGCGTGTTTTTAAGAACGTTGTTTCGGATGCACTTTTGCGCATGTTTTATTACATTTTTATGTTTTTGTGCATGTCCATTTGAGAGAGCGTGTTTGTGCGTGTTTGTTGATTTGTATTAATGTCCTAGGATTGTAGTTTGTGTTTTCATGATCCTTTTTGGGAATGCACTTTTGCTTGAGTACTTTTGTGCATGCTTTTGAACTTTTACTCATGTGCGTATCCTTTCTACCGAGTGTTTTTGTGCACGTTTCTTGATGCGCATTCACGTCCTTGATGTGTAGTACGTATTTTCATGATCGCTTTTGTTATCCAATTTTGACCATGTTCGAGTCCAAATTTGGAATTTTGTTGTTAGACGGGAATTGTAGCCCACTGAAATAGCTCTCTAATGCCACCGGAACTAGTCAATTTGGAGTCCGGATGAGAGAGTTATGCTCGACTTCGTGGACACTACCAAAGACGTTGAGGGATTCTCTCTTCTAATTTGATTTTATATAGTGTTTTTGCTGTTGTCTGTTGATGCGAATTAAAGTCATAGTATTGTAGTTCGTGCTTTTAAGAATGTTGTGCCGGATGCACTTTTGCGCATGTTTTTTTACAAGTACGTATTTGTGCATGTTCATTTGAGGGAGCATGTTTGTGCATGTTTGTTGATTTGTATTAATGTCCTAGGATTGTAGTTTGTGTTTTCATGATCCTTTTTGGGAATGCACTTTTGCTTGAGTACTTTTGTGCATGCTTTTGAACTTTTACTCATGTGCGTATCCTTTCTATCGAGTGTTTTTGTGCACGTTTCTTGATGCGCATTCACGTCCTTGAATTGTCGTACGTATTTTCATGATCGCTTTTGTTATCCAATTTTGACCATGTTCGAGTCCGAATTTGGAATTTTGACGTTAGACAGGAATTGTAGCCCACTGAATAGC